AAATAAGAATAACCTCTTGCATTTCTCGTTCAGTGCCGCGGTACTCATTCCAGGTCGATTACACTCGCAATAACGGCCCACATTTCCTCCTTTGCAACGACATACACCGCATACCATGTCTCCACCATGACAATCTTCAGTATTTTCGACAATACGATCCTAAATAATTAACTTAAGAGGACGCTCGCCTAGTGGAGGACGCTCGCCTAGTATTAACTAAAGAGGACGCCCACGGCAGAACATACCTCCTGCTCACAATCACAGTCGCAGAGGACTTTCACATTGACAATAAGTGTTTCATCTAGGCCTGAAGGGCCAATACGCAGCACAAAGTCTCTCTTCTCCACACAATGTGTAGCTTCCAGGGTTACTTCGAATTGCACCTCATCGCCAACGTGTATTCCTTCGCATACATTAGTGTCTTTGAGCGTGGTCCCACTAAAAAGTGAAGTGAAGAAATCGTACATGTTGCTCAAGCAAAAAAATAGAGTCACTCACTCTAGGCACATGCTTCGATAGGTAATCTTCAATCCATCGCTAGCATTGGCGTTATCCACCATTATGATCTTCTCGCTGATTTTCAGATATTCCTTCTCAATCAGTCGACAATATTACGAGAATCAGTTTCCAGAATTCCAACAGAAGAAGACACATCCGGCAGTGATTCCGAAAGCTGGAATTCAGAAAATTCAGGCGTGAGCAGACCTCGACTCTAGGTTGTTTCCTCTAAAACAGTTTCTAAGATCACTTGAGCACTTTCCATTTATACATATTTCACGGCATAGGAATGTGAAGAGACGATCAAGACAATCGTATTCGCCGCTGCATCGCGTGCGGTGGCGGGTGCGGCAGTTTCTTGATTTGCATTAGCCTATCGATTAGAGCAGCGGAATTCGTGTGAATCACGAATTCGTAGACATTTGTCGTAATTTGGCTATACATTACCCAAGGTCCCCATTCAGGTCCTAGAAACATCGTTATTTGCAGGTGGCCGTCGCACGCGAAGCCCACTAGACGGCGAATTACCATTGTCTTGTCACATACCCAGAAAATGCAAGCTACGGGGAATGCTGGTATTAATTCGACATAAATCTCAGTTTAAATACTTTTGATATAGTCGTGGTGACCGGCTGCATTTATATACGCCCTTTCGTACGATTGCACATCTTCCCCCGAAGAGCTAAGACCAAGAAAGGAAGACAAGCTGCAACAAATATACCTGAGAGTACAAATCGTGGTTTCCCTTCGTGACGGCAAAAATAATGTTCGCCTTACGCTCCTTGATCATTTGATGAAGTAATGCGATGGAGGGGTAGTCCTGAAATCCACTTCACTGAGTAGGATTCAATTTTTTGCGAAGTGACTCTCAAAACATCTACCAATGATGAACAAAGCCTATTATCTTGTCCAGTTCTAGTCAGTCACTTTACTATGAAGGT